ACTGTACCTAGTCAGAAAAATGAATAAGTGTTTGCTAGGAAAAGAACTCCCATTAGTGTATGAAGTAACCACTCAAGTGTCTATATACTTGCAGCTTTAGCATCTGGGGCATTATACCTATAGACACCTTTGCTTTGTAGCCAAATCCCAGTATGGGGAAGAAAGGATAATAAACTAGGTTGAAAACATGTTGTATAATGTGGGAGCCTTCCTAGCCACAAATCCTGTACTACTCAATATACACTATATTGGCAAAAGTATTGGGACGCCTGCCTTTACACGCACATGTACTTTAATGGCATCCTGGTCTTAGTCCGTAAGGTTCAATATTGAGTTGGCCCACCCTTTCCAGCTATAACAGCTTCAACTCTTCTGGGAAGGCTGTCCACAAGGTTTAGGAGTGTGTCTATGGGAATGTTTGACGAGTCTTCCAGAAGCGCATTTGTGAGGTCAGGCACTGATGTTGGACGAGAAGGCCTGGCTCGCAGTCTCCGATCTAATTCATCCCAAAGGTGTTCTTTCGGGTTGAGGTCAGGACTCTGTGCAGACTAGTCAGGTTCCTCCACCCCAAACTTGCTCATCCATGTCTTTATGGACCTTGCTTTGTGCATTGGTGCACAGTCATGTTGGAAAAGGAAGGGGCCATCCCCAAACTGTTCCCACAAAGTTGGGAGCATGAAATTGTCCAAAATGTCTTGGTATGTATCACTGGATGCATCACTAGAACTAAGAGGCCAAGCACAACCCCTGAAAAACAACCTCACGTTATAATCCCCCCTCCATCAAAATTTACACTTGGCACAATGCAGTCAGGCAAGTACTGTTCTCCTGGCATCCACCAATCCCAGACACGTCCATCGGATTGCCAGACAGAGAAGCGTGATTCGTCACTCCAGAGAACACATCTCCACTGCACTAGAGTCCAGTGGTGGCATGCTTTACACCACTGCATCTGACGCTTTGCACTGCACTTGGTGATGTAAGTCTTGGATGCAGCTGCTCGGCCATGGAAACCCATTCCATGAAGCTCTCTACACACTCTTACTGTGCTAATCGGAAGGCCACAAGAAGTTTGGAGGTCTTTAGCTATTGACTGTGTGCTTCAGCATGCACTGACCCCGCTCTGTCATTTTACGTGGCCTACCACTTCATGACTGAGTTGATTTTGTTCCCACTTGCTTCCACATTGTTATAATACCACTAACAGTTGACCGTGAAATAGTTAGTAGCAAGGAAATTTCACAGATGGACCTATTGCACATGTGGCAAACTATCATGGTACCATGCTTGAATTCACTGAGCTCCTGAGAGCAACCTATCCTTTCACAAATGTTTGTAGAAGCAGTATGCATGCCTAGGTGCTTGATTCTATACACCTGTGACTATCACCTGAATCCAATGATTTGGAGGGGGTGTCCCAATACTTTTGTCAATATAGTGTATATTTATATGCCGGGTCACCGTGTAAGATGGGTAATTAATTCTTCATGATGTGTCTGATTTCCTGAAATTCAGTGCTGTAAGGTGTAGAAAAGACAACAGGCTGGGCCTCTCCCTTGGTGCAATGATGGGATATACTCTTATGGTTATTATTATAAGAGAGTTCACCAGCAGATCACTAGTGATGTTTTTGACCTTCTATGGCACTATCTGAAAAGATAATTTATTTATAACCTCTCTCTTCAAATTGATCTTCCATGAGACCTGCCTCCCTATCAAAGTCTTGGAGACTAAAACAATTGAGCCTAATTCTGATAAACTGTCTCTTGGGAATACACAATCAGCAGTTACTTTTAGTGAAAACAACATGCAAAAAACAATACTTTCAGAGATAAGGGTAGCTGAATTAAATGCAAATATTGACTTTGGTTTGGTGAACCTATTGTATTTAGTATAATCAACAATCTCATTAGCTAATAGATATATTTAGAAGTAGGCAGAGAAAAACTGACTGGTTTCAGCCCATGTGTACCCAGTGTAAGGTTTGCATATATCTTAATCTTCCTGTATCTTTTGCTCAGTTTAAAACACCATATGTTTGTGACAGGTTTTCCTAAACTGGTTTCAACAGCCCCCTGTGAAGTGTAGGACTGAACTATGAACTATAACACAAACTCTTTAATTTATTTGTAAGTTTTCAAATGCTGGTCTTATGAAATAACTTGAACCTAAGATATTGTCCAATGTTACATTATAGAACCAAAACGGTTAATATTATTGGATTGTTATATTATTTATTTATTTCAGGCATTTCTAAAGCGCTGACAATTTATGGAGCAATTTGTATATGGTACATTCACATCAGTCCTTGCCCTCAAACAGTTTACAATCCAAAATCCCTATTACATCAACATACATACACATACTAAGATCAGTTACAGAATAGGACCTGGTTCACACTGATGTGACTTGGTTCGCACTGCATCGTATGACAATAAAAATAACATTGCTTCCAATGGTGCCCATTCACATCAATGCAGCATAGTTGCGATGTGATCTTGGGAAAGGTTCCTGTGCTACTTTGGTGGGATTTACATACAACATGCAAACCCCATCCAAAGTGCAACCAAAGTCGCATAAAAGTCACACTACTTAATCACACTACAAATCGAGTAAAAATTGTTTCACAGTAGTGTGAACTGAGCCTTACCCTACCAGCCTGTTTTTGGAATATGAGCAAATACCAGAGTACCTAGAGGAAACATACACAAACACAGAGAGAACATGCTAATTCCTTGCAAGTAGTGTTCTGATTTGGACCCTAGTGCTGCAAGGCAGAAGTGCTAACCACTAAGCCACTGTGCTGCCAATACTGTTGGAATGTGATGTGTATCTGAATGAAGACAGTGTAATTTTTCTACACACACATTTTGCAGTTCAATACACCTTCTGCCCTTCTGAATACCCTTATACAACATAGAATCTTGTTAGTGCATGCCTACTAAAAACTAAAATACCAGCTCATAATGTGACATGACTCCCCATTATTTAATCTGAAGGAAACGTACACATAGCCATACTTTATCCTCAGCATCAAAATTTTGACTGCTAAACTCTCTTTTGTATTCTAACTGTAGACAAAGCTAACAAGAATTCATCTATAAATGTATGTCTGTGAAAAGTTTTACCTTGCCTTCTTATCTCATGGAATGTCCTGCAACTGTTGACTTGGAATATGAAGAGACATGTTTGACAAGATGGTAAGGAAAACTGGAATTATATTCCACAGCATAGTAAGAGAAATCACTGAACCAAAGGTATGTAAGTTATTCCCTTGTTGTTCATGAGACTAGTAACTATAAATGAATAGAGTCTCTGGGGCTCTCTGGTTACCGAGGAGCTTCTTCTCCACCCAGAAACTACACAACAGTTACATAAAACACACAGGCACGGCCTGAACTGTTTGCTCTGTTACATATTTTGAAGACAATACATGTAATCTTAAAATATTATTATTGCGCCTACTATATATTGAAATATTAAATTACTGTATCTATGTGACTGAATACTTGTGCTAAATTACATTGCATAATAAGCTGGTTTTATATAAATGGTGAAAACACTGTAAATAAAATAATGTAAAGACTTTATAAGGAATAAAGCAGACATTTAAACTCTATGAATGATGTTGATTTAACTGATTACAGGACATGTCCTAAAGTTCAATACTGTAGGTGTTAAAGGTATTTTTCTGCTACAGGATGGCTCTGGACATTTAAATCAGACTGTGCTGTATATAATCCACTTGCAGGCAGACAAAGGTAACAATAGAAAGCACAAGAAAATGGGAAGTATTGTTTTAGCACATAATAGAGTGAATTGACTAAGGCAGGCGATAAATTATGCAATTTACTTTCCTTCCACCATAAGTGGAAGAAAGAATTTTTTTTTTATTTCCCCATCAACACAGTCAATGTTGATGGGCAAATAAACACAGCAGCACTATTGTGCTCTGCAGGTGGGGAGCCTTCACTGCTGGAGAACACAATGATTAGTATTGCTGGCTATAGCCAGTGGCACTAATTGTTCGGGAAAAACCCGATCAGCTGGTTGTACAGAAGTTGATTGATAGTTGAATTTTGATCCATGTTTGGCTGCTTAAAGTGATATTAAAGGTTCAGTTTAAAAAAAAACATATGTTATATTTATCTGTTCTGTGCAATGGTTTTGCACAAAGCAGCCCCAATCCTCTTCTTCTTGGATCCCCCACCGGAGCTCCTCCCCTTGATCAGTGCCCCTAATAGCAAACTGCTTGTTATGGGGGCACTGGCATGCGCTTGCTCCCAAGCCCAGTTCTATGCATCCATAAGACATACAAAGCATTGGCACAGAGCAGGGAGGGGGGAGGAAGCAGCACACAGAAGGGTTTTTTAACCTTCATGAACAGAATGCATGAAGGTAAAAAAAACCTTCTACCTTTACAACCACTTTAAAGTAAACCTACAGTCTTGTTTTTTTTTCTTCTTAAAAATAAAGAAGATGTTATACTTACCTGCCCTGTGCAATGGTTTTGCACAGAGCAGCCCTGATCCTCCTCTTCTCAGGTCCCCCACAGGCTCTCCCGGCCCCTCCCTCCTGTTTGGTGCCCCCATAGCAAACCATTTGCTATGGGGGCACCTGAGCAGGTGTGCTCCTGAGCTGCGGTTCTGCATGTCCATTCACACACACAGCTGCAGCTTGGCCCTGCCCCCTCCCTCTCCTGACTGGGTCACTGGCTGTGATCGACAGCAGCTGGAGCCATTGGCTCCAGCTGCTGCCTCAGCCAATCAGGAGTGAGAGTCCCCGGAGAACCGAGGCTCTTGTGGACATTAAACGATCAAGACAGGGCTCAGGTAGGTGTTAGGGGGGCTGCTACACACAGAAGGTTTTTTACCATCATGCATAGATTACATGAAGGTAAAAAACCTTGAGACTTTAGAAGCACTGTAAGTCTACCCATACACACAGAGGGGTCAATTTACAAAAAAAATGCTTTGTGAATGTCTCAGCATTTGTGAAAAATAATGTCTGCAATGTTTGTCATATGTGTGAAATGTCAGGCCCAGCTTGTTGTCTTTCACAGGGTGAATGTATCATTCCCTAACATTTGATATTGCTCTAGGATTACATATGTGCAGGTGGTGCCGCTTCGGATCTGCACGAAAATCCATGCAGCCGCACCACCCGCACAGAGAAATGCGGACCCGTGGGCGGGTGCCATTAGTTCTAATGGCACACCGCCCGCACTGGAAAACGCAACCGTACCGTACTAGGAACCGAGGTTCCCGTGCGGGCTGCGTTTTCCAAAGAAGTGCAGGGACTTCTTCCCTGCGTGTCACGGGCAGGGAGTCCATTCAAATGAATGGGCTCTCGTGCACGTGCAAAATGCAGCCGCGCGCGGCCGCATAGATGTGAACCGGGGGTTAAGAGCTGGTTCACACTGGAATCGCAAAGAAGCAGTCTGCGTTTAGAATAGTGTGGTGGGGGAGATCCCTGCATCCATATCACTTGTGTTGATGCTGGGATCTGTCAGTTTTTTGAAGAAAAGAAAAATATTTCCATGTATTCCTAGCTTTACTAAGCTTATCTTCACAGGGTGCTTTACTGCGTGTCACAGGCAAGTCCATGTTTTCCCGGCACAGGAGTTGCGTGCATCCCCGTGCTGGCAGCTCATTCATTACTATTGTGTCACGTGACTGCACAGACACAGCCGCTATGTCCTAATATCACAAGGGAGTGAGTGTGGGTCCCTGAATGCCCCTTGAATGCGTTTTGGGAAAGCGCACTCACCACATGTCTTATTAGGACACAGCAGCTGTGCAGCCTGCAGTCGCGGGTCCCAAATGAAATGAAGGGGAAGCTGGCACAGGAATACACGCAACACCTGTGCATCCCCGCAGTGGTGTATTTATATCATGTGTTGCTCTAGGCAACAATCAAATCAGGTGTCACCAGCACCAAAATACCCCCCGCCGCTGCCTCCGCCACAAACCCCCCCTCCCCATTTTTCTTTCTTGGGAGAGTGCATGTGATCAGTACATGGCCAATCAGCAATGTCCAGACAGAGGTCAGGGGTCCTGCATCCTCCTGGAGAAGAATGACAACTCCTCCTACAAGCTTTAACCAGTGCTCTGCTGGACACTGATAGAAGTCACAAGACTGCTCTAACTGCTGATGAGAAAAGGTATTTAGCAGTTTATATTTACTAAAATAACTGCACTTTCATGTTCTGTGTACTGTGGGATACCAGGTATAGTGAATGCAGGGTCCTGTGTTTAATAACACCCTTTGCAATGACAGAAGCAGCCGGCCATCCCTGTTTCCTCCGACAGTGCACAGCCTTCTCCAGATCTCATGGCAGAGCTGACCAAGTCCCCATCCCTACCACTTGTGTTCCTTCTTCTGGGGGGCGGCGGCGCCCCCTGAAAATTGCCGCCCTAGACAAACGCCTTGTTTGCCTCGTGGTAAATACGCCTCTGCATCCCCGTGCCAGTAAAGGATGGCCCTGCACTGAAGACACATGTCTGTGACCTGTGTGAATGGAGTCTTAAAATAAAACCAAATGCAAAGCTTTTTAGTGTTGGACAAAGCGGAGGGGAATTAGAACACCTGTCAGGTTTATGTTGCTGGGTCCCTGATTATCTTTGGGGAGATTTACTCTATTTGCCCTGATGAATGTTACCAGTGAAATAAAACCCCAAATTTCAGGTGGTCACCAGATCAGTAAGAATAGAGGGGAATTCTCCCAGTGGGAACAGTTCTGGTGACTATCAGGGATTTCCTCACTTTGGAGGAATTTCCTCTCAATTCCTGTTGTGTCTATAGGACAGGATGTGATGGTAAATCTCCTCAATGGGTCACATATGGTAAGGGGTTATAACCCTTCCTTCCAAAATGAAAAATGAATTGCCGTCATTACTTTACAGTAACAGGGTGTTTTAGTATTGTGCACAGATGCGAAACCAACATTATAATCATTTATTATTGACTTTAATGGCTTGCCCGCCACCCTATGGTAGAAGTACTGCTACAGGGCGGCAGGGCTGTGCAAAATCATGTATATATAACAGTACATGATTTGCAATTTTGAGTAGGGGGTGCGCGTGCTGCCCTACCCATGCCGCCATTGGAGGCTAAGGATGTCAATCATCGGGTCCCGGCCAGAGATTCCCCACTGATCGCTGTGTAAAGCTGACAGTTGAGAACACAGGCCTCTCTCCTGTCAGCAAGGACATGCTGGTTTGTATTTCTCTACACAACAGAGAGATACAAAGCAGCATGTTTCCCAAGTAAAACAGCACAGCAACACATATTAAAACACAACACAGCACACAGTTATCCCTTTGATCGCTCAAGATGTTAACACCTTCCTGCCCAGTGTCAGTAGTACAGTGTTAGTGCTTTTTATTAGCTTTTTTATCACTGTATCAGTGTCAATGGGGATGTCAGTGGCAGTTAATCAGTTCCCCCCCAGTGTCAGAATGCCTGCAGCAGTCTTGCAATAAGTTGCTGATCACCGCCATTACTAATATAAAAAAAAAAAAAAAAAAAAAAAAAAAATTCCAGTATATATACCGCCATTTGTAGATGCTATAACTTTCACATAAACCAATAAATTTACACGTAGTGGGATTTTTTTTTAGCAAAGACGTGTAGCAGAATACATTTTGGCCTAAATTTATGAAGAAATTTGATTTTTAAGTTTTGTTCTTGGATATGTTTTATGGCGAAAAAGTGAAAAGTATTTTTTTTTCAAAATTGTCGGTCTTTTGTTTATAGCACAAAAAATAAAAAAACACACAGGTGATCAAATACCACCGAAAGAAAGCTCTATTTGTAGGAAAAAGGGACGCAAATTTAATTTATTTACAGCGTTGCATGACCGCGCAATAGTCAAAGTAACGCAGCGCTGTATGGCAGAAAATGGCCTGGTCAGGAAGGGTGGTAAATCCTCTGGAGGGAAAGTGGTTGATATGCCATTAAAACCCCAGACTTCTAGCACTTCCTCTATGTGTGACTGAATTCATCCTCTCACACCTCGGCCCTTTGTGTATTATTGGTAATGTCTAACAGTAATATGGTGCTGCTAATAGAGATTAGTGCAAACATGGCAGTGCTGGGCTTGTTAGTGGACATGGCCCGTGTTGTACACCGTTATGAAGAGAACACATTCCTTCCATATTGTTTTAGTCACACACACGAGAACGAGCTCAGCCTGTTCCCTCGGTGTCACACAACAGCCGCGTGCACCATGCGACCAATTCCCGCACCCCAATTGGATAATCCCTTCGTCCTCCCGGGCTGACGTCACGTGCAACTCTATAAAAGCAGAGCGACGGCGCCCAGTATTTAATCCTGAGGTGTTGAGAGATAAAATGTGTCGTCTTCATATACAGCTATTCACCGGAGTTACAGTCGCCAATCCCACGAATAGACACCTCGAACCTCTACCGATAGCCCATTTTAGCCGTATTCCTGAGAGACGCTTTAGTAAAAAGTGCTCATCTATCGGCTGATTCCTACTACACCGAGGCGATATACAAGGAAATCACCGGCTTCGCCGGACACCGGGAACCAGAGCGGAGAGGAGCAGTTACTGTGGGGCGGCAGACATGCCTAAACCTAAAAAGAGGAGCGCCAGAGCCGCGGGTGAGTGCGGGACATCGGGTGTATAACAGGCCTGGGGTGTGTGGCGCATGGAATGCCGGGGATGGTAGTTCTCCCGCGCTCACTCCAGGATTCCATCACGTGGTAGGCGGGCTGGGCCCAAACTACATTTCCCACAAGCAGCGGCCTGATTAAGCCGGTATTTGTCCGCTTTCCAGGCTGTGAGGTGGCGAGGTCGCTTGGAACACACTTGGCGCCCTGTGAACTGCTGTTGCCGGTTTCTGTATCGGATTCCTTTGCTCTTTACTACATTATACAAATATTCTAACAACTTCCCTACCTGGCCAATTCTGACCTTTCTCTCCCACGTGTGCTTGATGTGATTCTGTGAAATCAGTATGTTGGAGAACCTTTTTTTTTTTTTTTTTTTTTTTTTTTTTTTAGCAGAGACCCTAGAAAATAAAATGGTGCAATTTGTTTACAACATGGTATTTGCAGTTTGTTCAAATGCTATGTTATAGGTTTTTTGCTTTCTTTTTGTTTTGGTTTGTTTTTTAGTTTTGTTTTTTTTTTTTTTTGCTTTGGGGGGGGGGGGTTGTTTGGTTTAGGGGGGGGGGGGGGGTTTGTTTGGGTTTTTTGTTTGTTTTTTTAGCACAAATAAACTTTAATACGTTTTATTGCACACAAACTATACCTATTGTGTTAAAATATAAAGTATGTTCTGCCCCATAAATAGATGCCTAACATTTCACACTTTCAAATTGTGTGCATCTGTGGAACGGCGCCAAGCTACAGTATCTCCAGAGGTGATGCTTTTTAAAAGCCTTTACAGGTTGCCAGTTTAGTTACATGGGAGGTCTAGAGCTAAAATTATTGCCCACGCTCTGATGTTCCTGATGCCTCAAGTCTGGTGCAATCACCATTTACATATGCATAGATTTGCATATGTGTGGGTAGGGGGTGCATTTGTCCCCCCATTTTATTTGAAACTTTTATTTTTATTTTTTTTTTGTCTTTTAACCACCGCCCGCCATATAGTAATATGACGGACGCAAGGTGGTTCTCTTGTTCTGGGAGGACGTCCTCCCATTATAACCATGCATGTGCTCTCCCAAAGCGTCCCTCGGACACAGCGGATCACCGATCCACGGAAAGAGCCGAAGAGGTCGGCTCGGTCATGTGATCAGCTGTGTCCAATCACAGCCGATCACATGTAAACAGGGAAATGCCGGTTATCAGCATTTCTCTCCTCTTGAGCTGTCACGCTGACAGCTTGAGAGGAGAGCTGGTAATTGGCATTCCGCGGAGGGGACATGTACACTGATCATGAGAGCACTGATGATCAGTGTAGCCCCAGCAGTGCCACCTGTCAGTGTCCATCAGTGCCACATCAATGCCACATATCAGTGCCTACCAGTGCACATCAGTGCCCATCTGTGCTGCCTTTCAGTGCCCATCAGTGCAGTCCATCACTGCAGCCTCACTAGCGTACATCAGTGAAGGAGAAAAATCACTTATTTACAAAAACTTTATAACATAAACTAAGATTTTTATTTTTCAAAATTTTCAGTGGTTTTTGGTTTAAGAAAAAATAAAAAAAACCCAGAGTTGATTAAATACCACCAAAATAAAGTTCTAGCTGTTCCAAAAAAAGATAAAAATTTCATATGGGTAGTGTTGCATGACCGCGCAATTGTCATTCAAAGTGCAACAGCGCTGAAAGCTGGAAATTGGCCTGGGCAGGAAGGGGGTATAAGTGCCCTGTAGGCTTGTGGTTAACCACTTGCCCTTCTGAGTATTTACCCCCCTTCCTGACCAGGCCCCTTTTTGCTATACAGTGCTGCTCTTTCAACTGGTAATTGTACGGTCATGCAATGCTGTACCCAAACGTTTTTCACACACACGGCTTTCTTTCAGTGGTATTTGATCACCTGTGCGTGTTTATTTTTCACGCTATAAACAAAAAAAGACCAAACATTTTGAAAGTTTTTACTTTTGGCTATAAATAAAATGTCTACTGACTCAACATGCCTCTCTGCAAATAGTTTGGGGTGGCTACTTTCCAAAAAGGGGTTATTTTGGGGGGTGGGGGCATTTTATGCCCAGCATTAGAAGTTTATACCACATGTCACTTCTAACCACCTGAAGGCAAAGCCTTTTTCTGACACCTTTTGTTCACATGAAAAAAATTCAGTATTTTTTGCTAGGAAATTACTTTAAAGCCTCAAACATGCTTTTTTTTAAAGCAGACACCCTAGTGAATAAAATGGTGGGTGCTGCAATTTTGTGTCATAGTACTCACGCAGCGATTTTTTTAAATGCAAATGTTTTGAAAAAAAATACTCGCTTTTAATGCAGAAAACACAATATATTGGCCAATTATTTTGTAACATATAAAAAATGATGGTATGCTGAGTAAATAGATACCAAACACGACATGCTTTAAAACTGCGCATGCCCCGTGCAATGGCAACAAACTGCATACATTTTTCATATCCACAGGCAAGGTCTAGTGCTAGAATTACTGTCCTTGAGCTGACATTCACGGCAATGCCTCACATGCATGGTGAAACCACTGTTTACATACTGGCACAGGGTCAATGCTCGTGGGTGAAGGGGGGTGGTGTGAGGTTGCTTTCCCCCAATTTGATTTTTTTTAAATTTTAAGTGTCACTTCATGTTAAATTATTTTTTTATGCTATCACAGGGAATGCAAATATCCCCTCTAACTTCAATGGGCATTGTCATATATTCTTTTTTGAGAAATGTGGGGTATCAGACTCCAGATATTTCCTCTGCCCTTACATTATCTAATCTCGCCAAGATTGGTGTGATCAGATGCTTTCCCAATTTACAAATGGCGCTGTATATATCCTGCAAAACTGAAGAGATAAAATGCCCGTAGCTTCCAATTTCTATAGAGCTGCTTGGCACCATTCTGATCTCCTCTATGGTCATCAGAAACAACTCTATGGTCATCTGGCAGAAACACCGGCTGCATTCTCAGGTTCCCCCGATGGCACGGGATTGCCCAAGAAGGCCGTGGGAGAGTTGAGGGCATTTTCTTCTGCTGCTTGTAAAAGCAATCCTGCAGCTAATTAGCCACTAGGATTGCTTTTATATGAAAGCCAATCGCTGGCTGAAAAAAAATGATACCAGGATGATGCCTGCAGCTACAGGCATCATCCTGGTATAACGACTCAGTCCAGTGATATAACAGTATGTCGCTGGTCCTTGTTGGATATATGGAGATAGATGGATAGAGTACATTTTTTTTTTTTTTTTTTTTTTTTTAAGTTTATTATGCAGCCTGTAATCTCTGCCAGAAAGTGTGTGGATTTGAGGATTGGGCCACAGCACCTTCTGGATGCTAAAGGGCTGTGATCTCTTCCTGGCATTTTAGGAAGGTTCCAGTTGCTTTGTAAATTACAAAAGTGTTATATATAACCAATTGAAATAGACAGCTTTCCGTGAAACTAGGTACAGATTCATCATTTGGTCGTTGAAGTCCACCCCTCCCATGTTAAGGTTATAGTTGTGGACACTGGTTTCTCAACGCTAGATACCGTGTTAATTTGGACTGTTGCATCTGCGTGAATGGAAGACAGGACGAAAACATCCTGTTTGTCCTTCCACTTTACTGCGAAAAATTCATCAGTCCTCAAGCAGGCTTTCTTCCTCTTTCTAAGTCAGGTATTTGCAAACCGTTGGGGGAAGCCCCGGCGATTAGGTCGCATGGTGCCACATGCACCAATTCCAAGATTGCACAAATGTCTAAATAGTGGCACGCTTGTATACAAATTGTCCACGTATAAGTGGTGCCCCTTACGGAACAAACATGACACCAAGTCCCAATCTATCTTGCCACTGCTCCCCATATAGTCTGGGCAGTTTGGGGGGGGGGGGGGCTCTACTTTGCTGTTTCTTCCCTCATAAACCCTAAATTTGTACCTATAGCCTGTGGCCCTCTGAGCTTATAAAATTTTACCCCATATCTGGCACGTTTGCTGGGGATGTACTGTTTGAATGCAAGGTGGCTAGTAAAGTGAATGAGGGACTCATCCACACAGATGTTTTGCTGGTGTACACACCTATAAATTTCTCAGGTGGTTTGAGGGGCTGAATTTTATAGAGCCTGTCATGTTCAGGGTCACCCCGAGGATGACAGTGTTAACACTGAAATGCATGAAGCACATTATATCTATGACTGGTCATGGCAGCAGAGAACAGGCATATGATGAATCTGGTCTGTGGATCAATACAACTGCAACTCATTCTTTTTTTTCTAATGCCTATGTTGAGGGTTAGGCGCAAAAAAGTATATTTGGAAAACGTAATGGTTTCCATGCGAATGGTCTGGCAAGGTTTGAATTTGGGTTTGCGGCGATATATTGTTTAGCATATAAATTGTTTTGGCCCACAATCAAATTGTACAAATCTTCTGGGGAAAAACTGCTCCAAAAAATCAAGGGGAGTTAAATTTGCTGTTTCCACCTGAATTATGGGTTTGGCAGTGAATGGGGGAAGTACGGGTGCTGCAGAATTTGTGGGCTGCCAATCAGGATTTGCCAGCACGTCCAGAAGGATACCTAGGGGCTCTAGACCTGTGTGAATTATTGGTGCCTGTGGGACACTACTTGTGCTCGCCACCGCACCAGCTTGTACTACACTTATGGGACTTGCCACGTCACCAAGTGATACTGCAGTGCTGGTATAAAAAGACCAGGATGTACTAGGCTGCTGGTGCTCGCCACTTTGCCAAAAGGTAGTCTGGCACTCTGCTGCATATGAGACCAGTCATGCGATCCTAGCACTTCAGCTTCATGGGGTCAGGTACACATGATCTTAATGGGGACCTCTTCTCCGTCCTGAACTACCTGTGGGGGTGCCGCTGCTGTCTCCCAGTTTGTATTCCGAGGCTGATTGTGTCAGGGCGTCCTCCCCTTCGCTCTCACCTGACATGCTCAGAATCCTGTAGGCCTCTTCATTAGTGTACCTTTCGTTGGAGTACAGAGGGCAAATTCTAGCTTAAAGGTCCTTTT